AGATCTGAAAACATCCACAGGTGTTTCTGTCCATCCTTCCACTGTGAGAAGACGACTCAGCGCTGTGGGTCTGAAAGGATGTGTAGCTGTCAAGGAGAACCTCACTGAGAAAAGGAGACGGACACATCAAACAAAGAAGCTGAACAAAGGACTGACCACCCCAGAGTCCAGACGTCAACATCACTGAATGTGTTTGAGATTATTTGGATTGTGAGAAGCAGAAAATCCAACCAACTTCAGAGACTGAACTTTGGAGGTGTGGAAAAATATCCCTGCAGATTTCTCTGAAAACTGCAAGCAACTATCCTGAAAATAATTAAAGCTGTGAAAAAGACAAAGGGTGGGCAAAAGGTTTAACTGGAAATGGAATAAATGAAGGGTGGTCTCTGACTTTTGCTCAATACTGTAGTTTCAAATGAAATAAATATTCATATGAAATACATATTCAAACACTGACATTGTCTTCTTACATTTTCACCAGAGACATACGAAGCTGCACATACTCTGTACCGAGTGGACTTCAGCAGCAGTGCGGTGTCTCTGATCTGCCAGTCAAAAAAAAATTATGACACTGTGACATGGAAACTCAAGGAAAGCCACCAGTACTGGATGGTTAATGTACTGACAGCTAAACAAGGTGAACAGAAAAGTCATGGAAGATTTACAGTGGAAGCTTATGATGGGTTCTTCTTCCCCCTGCACATCAAACCTGTTGCGTTTAATGACAGCGGGAAGTATGGCTGCTACGTTAGGAGCGACTCAAAAGTTTTCACCACCATATGGCTGAGAATGCTGAGAGGTTTGTAATGATATATTAAGTTGGGGCTGTTTAAGGTCAGATTTAAACCAAATGTTGAAAACACAACAACTCATGAGCAAGTGAAGATAGTTGGGCGGTCATAGGAGACAGAAGACTATACTCGACTTGAGACTTGAGATTTGGACTTGAATTTGGATATGAATCTTAGAGATTTGAGACTTGAAGCCCAGAGGTGGTGATAGGATACATGTTATGGCATTATGTAATCAGAATTCAAAAAAAGGAACTGAATTCTGTTATGGTTACAGTAAAAAAGACAGTACACATTACAGGTATATTATAAAAAAATGGAGTGATTACCAGCAGGACTAAACTTAAACCACATACATGCAAACTCAAAGTACATTATCAAAGTCTAAGCACAATCACCAATATGAAGATTTATGAATTAGTACAGGCCTTTTAGTTGAGAAAACTACAACGTCATTTCCAAAAAAGTTGGGATGCTGTGCAAAATGTAAATAAAAGCAAAATGCAACGATGTGCAAATCATTTAAGCCCTATATTTCATTAAAAATAGCACAAAGACAACATTTCAAATGTTGAAACTGAGGTATACAGTACATAATATCATTAAAAGATTCAGAGAATCTGAGGAAATCTCTGTACGTAAGGGACAAGGCCAAAAAACAATATTTGCTGACCATGATCTTTGGGTCTTCAGGCGGCACTGCATTAAAAACAGACATGATTCTGTAGTGGAAATCACTGCATGGGCTCAGGAACACTTCTGAAAACCACTGGCTGTGAAAACAGTTCATCCTGCACCCACAAATGCAAGTTAAAACTCTAAAATGCATATAAACAGGATCCAGAAATGCTGCCACCTTCTCTGGGCCTGAGCTCATTTAAAATGAACTGAGGGGAAGTGAAAAAGTATCCTGTGGTCAAAAAATACAACACAGGAGACCCCAAACTGTTGATCAGCTGAAATCCTGTATCAATCAAGAATGGGAAAACATTTCACTTTCAAAACTACAGCAGTCGCTCTCCTCAGTTCCCAAATGCTTACAGATTGTTGTTAAAAGAAGAGGTGATGAAACACAGTGGTAAACATGACCCTTTTTTGGAACATGTTGTTGGCATCAAATTGAAAATGGGCATATATTTTTCCAAAAACAATAAAAATTTTCAGTTTCAACATTTGATTTGTTGTTTATAGTATTTTTTATGAAATATAGGGTTTAAATGATCTGCAAATCATTGCATTTTGTTTTCATTTAGATTTTGCACAGTGACCCAACTTTTATGGAAATGGGGTTTTTAGAATGACATCTGTTTAAAATCACTGTTATTGAGGGATCTCAAAAGAAAATATGCACCAGGTGCTTATATCACACTTTCTTTGTAGTTCATCAAAACGTTTTTGAATAACCAATTTTCAAATGGACATAGTCATAACACACATAGAGTGTAGACAATTAACTGGTCACTCAACTCGGATTCACACCCCAGAGACTCGAGACTTGACTTGTGACTTGAACTTGCACCTCAGACAATCGAGGCTCAACTTGGACTTGTAGAGAGACTCTAAGAGACTCCAGATTCAACTCAAACTTGCACCCCAGAAACTCGGAGCCGCACCCAGAGACTTGAGACTCAGTCTTGCAGCCCAGAGACCCAGGAAATGACTCAGACACCTCAGAGACTGAAGACTCTATTAGCACCCTAAAGACTTGAAACTCAACTTGGACTCACATTCACACCTCAGAGACTCAAGACTCGACTTGGACTCAGACCTCATAAAGTTGAGACTCGACTTGAACTGGCCTCCTAGAGACTCAGATTTGCACCTGAAAGACTCGAGAATCAACTTAGACTCAGACCCCAGAGACTCCAGACCTGACTCAGACTTGCAACCCGGAAACTTGAGACTCAACTTGGACTTGCACCCCAGGGACTCAAGAATCAACTCGGATGCATACCATAGAGACTCCAGACTTGACTCAGGCTTGCACCACAGAGACTTGAGACTCAACTCAGATATACACCATAGAGACTCCAGACTCGACTCGGACTTGTAACTCAGATACTTGAGAAACAACTCAAACTCAGACCCCAGAGACTCCAGACTTGACTCAACTTGCACCCTAGAGACTCAAGAATCAACTTGGATGCAGACCATAGAGACCCCAGAATTGACTCACATTTGTACCCCAGAGACTCGAGACTTGATTTGGATGTTGCTATACTTATGTGTTGATGCTCTGGATCTGGTGGCCTCAGTCTCTGCAGAGCCTCCTGATGGTGTGCTCAGGAATCAGCCATTGGTTCTGACCTGTGAGGTGTCCGAAGTGACTGACCAAGTGACCCTGGCCTGGCTGAGGATGGAGGGGAACATAGCAGTGTTGGTCAAACAGGACATCCTGACACACAGTAAGAGGACCCTCAGTGTGACTCTGAAGACCCTCTCTGAGGAGCAGCTCCTATGGCAGTGTGCCCTGTTCACTGAGAGCACACTCCGAGCAGTGGCCCCTATAAAGCTCTGTCTTCTCCCAGAAAGCTGGACAAAACCATGCATGACCAGAAAACCAACAACAGGTGATGATTCAGGTGAGCACATTTTTTTCAGTCATTTTCTCTCTCATTTTGTGTGAATTCATTAATGTTCATATTTGAAATTTTAGGTTTTCTTGGCATATATGTTCTCAGAGCTTGCCTGATTAGAAATCTGAGAATTTGTTAAAATCAGTCAAGCCATATGGCTGAAAACTTAATTTATCATGTAAACAGGTCATTCCACCCCAACTCACCACAAGCATTTCTAGTTATGTTATGGATTTCTATTAACCTTGTGTGGTGTTGGGATCTGTGGGACCCATTTTCAGTGTTTACCAAAAGAAAAAATGATGTGATTTATTATTATTTCTTGGTCTTTGCTCATTTTCTGTAAAGAACATATAAAATAACCCATTTTCAGTGTCTTCACACTGTTAACCCCCACACATTTATATTACACATGTGGAGTTGGGCTGAACATGCAGGAAGTAAAAGTGTGGAGGTGCTGTGTCCTTCACTCTGTTCTCCCCTACATGGCCTGCTGTTAGTGTGTGTGTGTGTGTGTGTGTGTGTGTTTGTGTGTGTCTGTGTTTGTATATGTGTGTGTGTGTGTGAGGGTGGACAACATGGACAGGCTGCTGATTGGCTACAGCTGCTAAAGGAGAAACCTACGCTGGTCACTTGTGATATTTTAAACATCTGGTATTTTTACATATATTGTTATGGCCGTATTAATTAAAAAAAAAAAAATAATAATAATGCGGTGGGTCCACCAGACCACTGAGTAACAACAACATCAACACCACATAAGAGTTAAGCAAATTAAGCACATTCAATTTAAAAGCTCTAATTACCTTTTTATTAATTATTTTTAAACTGTGACCCAACAGGTTCATATCCGAATCATATCCTAAATATTGAGTTTAGATATTAATATCGAGTGCTTACAGGACTAAACTGAGTTGAAATATTCATTGGTATGAATGCAATAACAAGAAAAATATTTCATAATGTGCTTTTGGAGAACTTTCTGGTGGAAATGTGAAATTACATAACAGCATGCAACATGTGGAAGAACATTTTTGTGTTTGAGACGACTGTCTTCACTGTGATTTGCGAGTGATCAGGTAGCAAATATGATGCAAAAGATGCTTTGTAGTCCGATTTGAGTGTCCAGAGCATCCAAACTGAGACGCATCTATAAAAATATAATTGGAATTGCATTTCAAAGTTGGTTTGGATCAGATTTGCAAAAATCTAATTTCATGTGATATTTTGCTGTCCACACTATCAAAAACCAATCTGGATATGCCAAAAATCAGATTTGGGCTGGGAATCTCAACAGTGCCTTTCTTGAATGGATAAATCTGATGACTGTGAGTGCATTGAGAGAGAATTCAAAGAGAATTCAGTCTAAACTGGGTGAAGGACGTGCCTTTCAGGGATGTAAGTAAATTATTTACCATTATCATCACATCATCATAATGCTGATTTTGCATTTGAAGACACGTGTTGCTTCACTGGCATCGTGAGCCCTGGTTCCTATCACCACCACTGTAACAAATCTGAGTCTGTAAGTTTCTCTACAACGAAACATTTCACACCAAACCACTCTGAATGATTATGTTTACATCTCATAGACTGAATTATTCATTAATTTTGCAAAAAAATGGTGGAATTCCCCCTTTAAGTAATTTATTTCTCAGAGGGCAGGTGTTTTAAGCCCTCTTGCAAGAATGCACTCACAGTTCTTCCTTTTTAGTGCTATTCAACAGCCAAATCTCACTTTCATTTCCTGTAAGCAAAATTTAGCAAGAAAGACAAATTGCTGACGAGTGGTCATGTCTCTCATGCCGTGGACTTTTTTAATTTTGATATCTGTATTCTGCTGCAGAAGTCAAGCTGAAGGTGAGTCTTATAGAGATTTACTTTAGTATTATACATGGGGGGATAATACATATAATGCATTCCTGGTGTTTGAAATGATATAATATCTATTCACCCAACTGTAACAACTATTGCTGCCACGGTTACCTGCTTGCGCCCATTTATGCCCAAATAATCAAAAGAGCACAACAATGAATTTGACAAGAATAGCTCAAATTTGGAGTCTATCCAAATCTAACAAACATTGGAAAATGTTAACCTTTATATAATCCTTATATTTCTTAGTTGTAATATTCTTTTAAATAAGGAAAGCTTGCTTAGTGCACAGGGGCACCGTCATGCTGGAACAGGAAAGGGTGTTCCTCAAACCGATTGAAGCATATAATGTCTATAATGTCTAAATGTTAATGTTACAGCACACAAAGACATCACCCTTCACTGGAACTAAGGGGATCAATCCCTGAAAACCAGCCCCAGCCCCTCATTATCCCTCCTCCACCAAACGTTACTGTTGGGACTATGTGTTCCAGTAGGTAGTGTTCTCCCAGGATCTGCCAAACCTAGATTTCACGGACTTGTGGCAATGGTGGCATCCTATGACAGTGGCATGTTTAAAGTCTCATCAGTGCGACCCTCTACTGCCAGTGTTAGTCTGTCGAGACTGCAAGGCTATGACCTTAATTTTATCCACCTGTTAGCAATGGGTGTGGCTAAAACACTCAATAATGAGAAGGAATGTCCATATACTTTCTGCCACTTAGTGCATCGATTCATGAGAAATGATCAAATTGAGATAAAATTTATGAAAATATGCAACACTTACAAAAAAAAAATAACCCTTTTGAACCAAAGACTAAAAAAGTGCACTGAGAAAATGCTGTAGCCAAACCATTTGACCAATTATTATTTCATTTTCAGATTTGTGCTCATAGTACAGCCCTGTTTCCAAAAAAGTTGGGACGCTGTGCAAAATGTAAAATGTATTTATGTAAATAAAAACAGAACGCAACGACATGCAAATCATTTAACCCTATATTTAATTGAAAATACAACAAAGGCATGTCAGTAGCTGAAACTGAGAAATTGTATTGTTTTCTGAATATATATATATATATATATATATATGCCCATTTTGAATTTGATGCCAGCAATACATTTCAAAAAAGTTGGGAAGGGGGCATGTTCACCACTGTGTATCATGTATCATCACCTCCTCTTTTAACAACACTCTAAGTGTTTATAAACTGAGAAGACCAACTGTAGTTTTGAAAGTGAAAGTGATATTGAATTTCAGCTGCTCAACAGTTCGGGACCCCCTTCATCATATTTTTTGTTTCATAATGCACCAAATGTTTTCAATGTTTTTCAGGTCTGGACTGCAGGCAGGCCAGTTTAGCACCCAGACACTTTTATAGAGCCATGCTGCTATAATATGTGCAGATTGTGGTTTGGCATTGTCTTGCTGAAATAAGCAAGGCCTTCTCTGAAAAAGATGCCAACTGGATGGCAGCAAGTGTTGTTCCAAACACTGTATGCATTGTTCAGCATTATTGGTGCCTTTATAGATGTGTAAGTCACCCAAGGTATGTGCAATAATGCATCCCAATACCATCAATGGATGCTTGATTTTGATCTGTGTGCTGATAACAAGCCAGATGGTCCCTCTCCTCTTTCGACTAGAGGATGCATCTATGATTTCCAAAAAGAATTTCAAATTTTGATTTGTCGGACCACAAGACACTTTCCACTTTGCCTCAGTCCATTTTGAATGAGCTTGGGCCCAGAGAAGGTGGCAGCATTTCTGAATCCTGTTTATATATGGTTTCTTGTTTGCATAGTTGAGTTTTAACTTGCATTTGTGGATGCAGTGACAAATTGTGTTTTTCCAGATTCTCTGAATCTTTTAAATGATTTAATGTATCGTAGATGATGAAACCAAAAGTTCTTTGCTATTTTACATTGAGAAACATTCTTGAAGTGTTGCACGATTTGCCTGCAGAGTTTTTCATAGAGTGGTGAGGCCCTCCCTGTCTTTACTTCTGAAAGACTCAGCCTCTTTGGGAAGCTTTTTTTATACTTTTTTACTTTGTTATTAGTAGTTGTGAGATATATACACTTTTTTAGCATCATACAGATTTACCAGTCTTTTGTTGCCCCCATCCCAACTTTTTTGAAATGTGTTGCTAGCATCAAATTCAAAATGGGCATATACAGTATTTTTCAAAAAACAATAACATTTCTTAGCTTCAAAATTTAATATATTGCCTTTGCTTTAATTAAATATAGGGTTTAAATGATTTGCACATCATTGCATTCTGTTTATATTTACATTTTGCACAGTGTCCCAACTTTTTTGGAAAGAGTTGTAAATAGTAAATCAAATTTATTCCAGTATGGGCATAAAGCAATAGTTAATCTTAATATAGATATTTAATTATTTTATTAACTATTGAATAATTTGATCACATTAAAATTTTCCCTCTCAGTGTAATGATTAGCTGGTAATTGCTCATGGTAATAATGCATAATATATACTCCTCTCTAATTTTCTCTAAAATGACCAAAACAGAGCCTGATTGACCCACCCAACTGTATGATTTTTTGCCTCATAATGTAGCAAAAAATGATCATCAAATCTACATAACTTATCTTTAGTTATTATCGTAAAGTCCATTTTTATTGCTTGGCCTGCTTTTTCCTAGTTCATAAAGAGGTGGTTCTCAAACAAGCTACCTAGCAAAACGTGCTACCTAGCACAACACCATCATAATGGAAACGTTTTTCATTGTCAGAGTTAATGTTTATATTTACCATATCTAATATGTTCTCCTCACATGTGATAAATCTACATGCTTAATTAGAGATTTTTGGGGACTTTACAGCCACGCTAACTTGCATTACATCCATGGGCTAATGACATGGTTGTCCGACAGACAGTGTTGATGATCATACCATCACCCCCTACTTCAAGTTCCACCTTCATGAAGCACAGAATTGGTTTCGAAATTTTATATTCAGTTTTTCTTGTTATGAGATCACATTTAGCCACGTGAGACTAGCTAACAAGTAACAAATAACCCCACTTTACCCATTAGCATATTGCTAACTTCATGCCTAAATCATCACAAACGTGACTCAAATCGTGTCCGGTTGTTATGTAATCTCAAATAGACTGAGATAATGCGGTTTCTAACACTATATGACATACTTTAACCTACAAACATGGACCAAAGCGTGTTGGGTAGCTAAAAACAGTGGTAGCAGCCATCCTGTACTTTTGTCCATGTTAGCAAATACGTTGAAATATCTCCTGCAGAAAAAGCCACATATGTTTTATACTATCATGTGTAATTCACATTTCTTTTGTACATGTATGTGACAAGTAACGTGCAAAAACCATGTATTTATACACGTGACATTCAGGACATATGCCTAAAGCCCAGCATGGAACTGATGTCACACTGAGCTGTGAAGTGGCCAGTCTCCCAGAATCCTCCACTCTGCAATGGGAGAGAGAAGGAGCTCCCACATCTAACACCACCCTGTTCCTCAACAACACCGCCTACATCATCCTACACAGCGTCGACCAGCAGAGCCAGGGAACATACACCTGCAAACTGAAGCAGAACGGAAAGGTGCAGATGTGTTGGAACCGAACAGTGAGTGTGTCGGAACGTGAGTATAATGTTAAGCACCAACATTTATCATAACATAATATTATACAACAGTTAGTTGTGACTGCACAATCTGATTGCTTGAGAGGTGTTCTAGTCTGCATGAAGGCCCTCAGAGTTTCAGTTTCGGAAACTCTTTTCTTTCGCTTTTCCAAAATGGACAGTAGCCCAATTTCACTGTTTGCTCGCTCTGTGAGGAGTGAAGGAGGTCTTATTAGCACTTGAAGACATTCTACCCATTTGGTTTGTACTTTGTCTTTTGGGGAGCTACATCTTCAAAATCATCTTAAACTGAGTTACTGAGATCCAAGTTGTGAGTGAAAGAGTTCTAAAGTGTCAGCTCCTGAAATGAAGTGGAGAAACTCTTGCATCTTGCTCACTGGAACCTGTTTATCAAGCACCCCAGTGTGAGAACACTGGTCTAAGATCAGGCCTCATCAGTCCATGTAGTTCTATTCACTGCTACAAAGGCAGAAATTGACACCAGACCAGCATTTTTAATCTGAGATGTTTGATAAATGTGGGCCAGTGTCACAGTTTGCCATTTCATGAAAAGCAAAGGACCTTATAATAGACATTCTACCACTCTTGTGCAAAAAAAAAGGTAAAATTCCAAAAAATAAAAATTGTGCTGAATTCAGTTTTACAAATAGTTTTGATGTGAAAAAAATTATCTATAAATATTTTTCATTTTTTTGTGTTGTTTTTGTGTCATGTTTGGTGTATAATGGCCTTAAGTAGCGAATAAAATAATGTTGCCAAAAATTCACGTTTGGCATGCAAAATTTCATCAGTTATACATATGCTCGAATTACTTTACTTTATCCAAATTCGCCATGTAAAGGACTTAAAATGCCACAAAGCTTTGTCAGTTTTAGACAAATCTCGACTCTTGAAGCACGTCTTCTTGATACTAGTGTCATCTTACATTGCGTCTATAATGTTGACATTTTGTTATGACATATATTTATTGCCAAATAAGGGTGATGCATAGGTGTTGCTAGGCCATTTTTGGGGACTTTATCTCCTCTATTCCCAATTTATTTAATTCCCAAATAAATATATGTTACTAGTTCAAATCATCTACTTTAGTTTACTCTCATTCACTGGGGGAGGTGCTGCTGATGCTCTAATGCAGCACTACCTCTGCTGTGCTACCAGAGATTTACTAATGTAAAGTGGACATGAAAGGTTAAAAGTGGAACCCCCAGCTCGACCAATCATATCAGAAGTAAGTTGTAAGTTAAGCATATCGGACATCATAACTACTTGCCACAAATATGAGACACTGGGGAGGGTCTCTAGTCTCTGGAGAGAGAGAAAGAAGCTGAAGGAGACTGAGAGAAAGCTATTCAAACTTTCAGTGAAAATTAATACTGAATTTCATTGATCTTAACTGGGAAAATGTAATATTTGTCACTATGACTATAAAATTCTGTCACCCAGCTTATAAACCTGCCTACAGAACAAAATCACACTCTTTCTGATTGGACTAACTGAGACTGAACTAAATATGTTTTTGAATAACATATTTAGGGCCTTGAATCTTATCTAAGAGGGCCGAGAGAGCATTACTTGACTTCAGTACCTTTGCTTGATCTGTACCTGTTGTAAGTGGATAAACATAGAATTTAAGTCATACTAGCTCTGTGCTTCATACAAACTACAAAGAGACAGATATACTATGTGCCAATTTGTCTAAATAGCCATTTTTGATGCATTTTCTGGCTGTTCCTACTCTAAAAGTTCATGACAAACAGACATTTTGGGCCCTAGTACAGGCTTAACCCCCTCCCCCCATTCCTGAGCCTCTAGTGAGTGAAATACCTCATAGTCTGGTGCATTGTGAAATTTAAGCTGACATTACTGTGTGTTTTGAAGTTGGTGCTGATGCTGCCACATGACATACACTGAAATCAGCAAGCAAAAACAGTTTGGACAGAGAAAGAGCAGCACTTTATAATCAGGCTGCTTTAAAGCCGTTTTATACAATTGCAGATGCAACCAAACCTTGCCTGCCCTCCAGGGACAGTTAAGTTTAACAGGTTTTACACAGCAGCATATTAAGCATTATTAGAGCTCATCAAAAGGACACTATTCATTTTGAGATAAATGGGAAGGGGCTTGTAGATCATCACAGCTGTGATGTTATTTGTGATAACATGCTCCCTTTAATGATCTATTAATAAAATATATAATTATACTTTGCCACTTCAAAACAAAAAACACCTTAAAGGGGGCATTCCAGCCTAAAACTAGCATTTAACAGAGCAGCATTGCATGTTACAGCCTCACTGATTTGATAGAATCACAATTTTGCATCCCTTTTGCATTTCCAGGCATTACAGCCAATTGAAAACAGCCCATCTTCATGTATCTGTCACTTGTAGTTTTTCGAAAGTCTTTCCCACCTTCAAGATTCATCATTAAAAGGAGGTTTTCCTAGATTTTTGAACCCTCTGACCACCAGTGAGTAAGCATGTTTACAAAAGCTGTAGCAATGGTTAAATTTTATTGTTTTCGTCTTGTATTGTATCTTGTGTTTTGTTTTGCATTGGATATAAGGGAGCAGTGGTTTTAAGGTAGCAGAATATTTAAGGTAGCAACAAATTTCAGGTAGCAGGAGATGTAAGGTGGCAGTGGATTAAAGGTATCAGTAAATTTAAGGTGACAGTGCATTTAAGGTATGAGTGACTTTAAGGTAGCATGGGATTTAAGGTAGCAGTGAATTTAAGGTGGGTTTAATGTAGAAAAAATCCTGTTCCATTAACCTTCATTCAAGCTTTTTTCCTTCTGCTGGAGAGTTAGTATTTTAGAGGTCCAAGGTTTTGTTCCAACAACACCGATATGCTGGTTTTGTTGGTGATTTTCTAGCAGAGTCGCTTCCTACCTGCAATATATCGGGGAAAACCTAAAACACGAAATGTGGCCTGTGCAAAATTTTTTAGATTTTATGTTTTTCCAATATTTTATGGAATCGTGGCAAAACATACTATGTATAAGTTTGTTTCCTGTAGTGAATGTCTTTTGTTCACTTAAAAAAGCAATAAAACACTTGACCAAGGGTGTCCAAACTTTTGCATAAGACTACACGATACGTTCATAGCAGTTTATTTTTTTTAAACCAGTATCTATTCATGAACTCTTATATATACTAGAATACACATCCTTAAATTGCTGCTATCAGAACAAAACCTTGTCTCTCCATTTTTGCAGATTTTCCCTTTTGTTTTGATTTTCATAAGTTGTAAATGCCTGTTGGCCTTTACATTGTGTGTAAATTTCATGATGAATGGTCCAAAAGAAATGAGCCAAAATGACTTGGAAAAAAGTCTGGTTCCATTGACTTACATTAAAAGTAAAGTATGTTTTTTTCTATCTCATGTAAAGTTACTATTTTGGAGATGCAAGGTTTTGTTCTGACAGCAGCGATTTACTCCAAGATTGCTTATATTACCACTGATAAAATTAACATACCTTCTGTTATTGATGTCTTTCTAGATACGTACTCTAAAAAGAGTTTTCCTCTGTACAGAGAGACCTCCAACAGCAGTGATTTAACACTCATCTGCAAGTCAGAGAAGACTTACAACAGGATAAGGTGGCAGCTACACCATCCAGAACTGATAATGATCGCTGCAGAAAAGGGACAAAAACCTATAGTTAATGGACCAATTGAACCAGGGACACATACGTCCACATCCTACAATGGACGTGAATTCATCTTTCACGTCTCACCTGTGAGGTTCAACTACAGTGGAATATATAAATGTGTTGGGGATGATCAAACCACCTATTCAACCATAACACTCCACACTGTAAGAGGTACTTAACCTGTCCATTCACGTTTAATCGACCAGTTCTTGTCGGAGTCTTGTTCTTATGTTCTGGATCTGGTGACTTCAGTCTCTGCAGATCCTCCTGATGGTGTGTTCAGGAATCAGTCAGTGGTTCTGACCTGTGAGGTGTCCAGGGGGGCTGACCGAGCGACCCTGGCCTGGCTGAGGATGGAGGGGAACAGGGCAGCGTGGGTCAAACAGGATGTCCTGACAGGCAGCAAGAGGACCCTCAGTGTGACTCTGAAGAGCCTCTCTGAGGGGCAGCTCCTGTGGCAGTGTGCCCTGTTCACTGAGAGCACACTCCGAGCAGTGGCCCCGATAAAACTCCGCCTCTACGCAGGTAAGCGAAGGTAGTGTTAGGAGTCTTGCCCAAGGACTCTTATTGGTTTAGTGTAGGCTGCCTGCCCAGGTGGGGCATTGAACCCCAGTCTACAGCGTAGAGGTGTTACCAGCCCACTATATATGTATTTTCAGGGGTGATATATTTTTTAATTCTAAGGTCAAGATTCAATTTGATTCTCGATATTTTATGTATTAAGTGTCCCAAATCTACTGACATAATAAACTACTAAGGCTGTCAAAAACTAAATTTTATTGATCGAGATTAATCACATTATTTTGTGTTGTTGATTGTGATCCATCTCAATTAATTTGCATTGTTTTGTGTAGTTGGTTGCAATAAAATGCCTTATTTGCTGCATTTTGACCCTGAATAAAATTTCTTACATTTAAAAAGCACTGCATATAACTACATACAGTCATAAGCAAAAGTCTGGGCACCCCTGCTCAAATTACATTTTGCTGATATTCTACATGGAAATAAGTGAACACATCCTCTACAGAGAACACATTTTAATGCACACTTACTGTTTATTTGCTGAATTTAACATAGAGGAGCACGAATCAAATGTGCAAAATATATGGCACGATTTATATTTCAAATTCAGAAAATTTATAGAAATTGTGCATTGAAATTTTCAGAAAAATGCCATATTTGGTTTGTTCCCAGTAGCAAATGTGTTAACTTATTTCTGTCACGCCTTCTGCCGAGGACGCCTCCTCCACCTGTTCGTTTTTGCTCAGATCCCTTGAGTCATTGAACGGCCCAGAGGACTACAACTCCCATGAATCAGTGGGAGACCACGTGACTCCTACTCCACCGCCATCAACCAATGAGCAATCCTTTCAGCGTTCAGCCTCACCAGAATTCTAAACTGTCACACCTGTTTTTCATCACAGCTTATTAGCCAGTTTGTATATAAAGCCTGGGCTTCAGCTCTGAACTTTGCGAAGTATTGCCAACCCTTGTTGCGTACTGAGCGTTCTTTGTTTGCAAGTTCTTTTGTGTATGACCTGTCCTTTGCCCTTTTTCGGTGTGTTCGCTGGATTTGTATGAGATTTTGGTTTTGGAACTCGGACTGGTTTTGACTACTCCCTGGATGTCCCGTTTGTTTTGGTTTTCTAGCTCTCTGGTTCTGACCCTCGCCTGTTTTGACTATGCCCTCTGTACATCCATCAAAACCTCAAGTAAACTTCAACCTTGTCCTTTTATCTGCGAGCGTCTGATCTGTGTTGACATCGTAACAATTTTCAATTCATTTTCATAGTTATTTGCTCAGAAAACCTTACTATTTTAATGAAAACAACTTAAGGAAGCCCAGTATTAACTGCAGTTATCTTCCAATACTTGGTTTGACTAACCCAGGGGTCGGCAACATGTGGCTCTGGAGACGCATGTGGCTCTTTCACTGCCCTGTTTTGGCTCCACAGCAGAATTAGATTTGTAGGTAAAAATAAAATAATAATCCTTTGCAGTAAAATAAAGCTCTGCTGATCGTTCAACACAGTTTAACAATAAATGTTCTTAAATGCTGGAGTTAATGTAGAACTGCTAATTCACCCTTTAACCCTGAAGGTCGGCACGCAGACTGCAACACAGCAATAGCAACACAGACAACGATCTCGCCTAGCTAGTAGCTAATGAAAAGGCAAAGAGAAAGATTTAAAACGAACATCGATAATTTAGAGACGAATGGACTTATTTGCATTTATAATCACTCCAGCTGGTTTCCTGATACGTTTAATCTGCAACGAGAAACTGACCAACACTTCTACTTTTGAGGAAAAGTTTCCTGCCAGAGATGTGAGAAAAACAGCTATAGCTGAGCTAAAGCTTAAAGCAGAGCAAAGTAAATATATTATTATTTTTATCCTATACTAAGACATCAGCACATACTGAGACATATTTACAGCCAAGATGAAAAAAAGTGAAACATTACTTCAATAAAATGGACATAAAAATGTGGCTCCCATGGCGGTTTGATTTTTGTTGAAACGGGACAAAATGGTTCTTAACGTTTGGGTTGCCGACCCCTGGACTAACCCGTGCTTCATTATGTTAAATCAAGTGTGCTGAAGGTGAAACCTAACAAATAGATATCACAGAAAGTGATGGCCTGGTGTCCACATACTTTTGGCCATGTAGTGTCGATGCATGAATAGTATTATCGTTACACTCTCACAAAACAGGGTGACGTTCTTCAAACATACTGTTCATACTGGCTCAGTAAAGCACTTCCTGTTTCCTTTCACAAGAAGATAACAGGAAAAGCTTGAAAATGTTTGTGGTTACACTAATATGCTGACTCGTGTCGTTGCATTGGCTGGCTGTACTGTATCTCTGCAGGAGACGGTGTAGTGGAGAGCAGCGTGGTGATCATCACGGCGGGTGCTGTGGCCGCGTGTGTGGTCATCTTGCTGGGAGCTCTGCTGTTTTACTTTCAGAGAAAGTCAGCAGCTGGTAAGCTCACCTGCTCTTGATAGTGCTGCTGTTACCAAAAGAAAACAAGCCATAGTTTATAGCTGCATATCGTCACTGTCATATCAAAACCCCATCTTCAGAAAAAAAGTAACTTAAAAAAATAAAACTTGCCATCATTTCTATCAGAACATTCAGCATCAAATTATGAAACAACATCATTTGCAAACCAGTGGTCTGAATGTTGCTAATATCTCGGTGTCACTTTTCTGTGTATTCACTGTAGGTGGGCAACCAAGGACTGAGATAAAACCCGGAGCAGATCCATGCCTTTCTGATTCAGCTCTTACTTACGTGAACAGAGGTATCACTTACTTACAGTGTTGGTGTACACAGAATGGATATGTGCTACACATGCCGTTTGGAACCAATGGATTTTGGAAGTTTGGAATCAGTGTTTTCAGTAATATAAAACGAATGTAGTTGCAGATACATGTATAAAGTGATTCTAATATCCTTACCCAGATTAACTTCACAGATATCAAACCTTTACACTGCAAAAATAGTATCTTGTCAAGTAAGATTATCTTAAATCTAGTCGATATACTTAATATTTCTCCTGTTGAGATTGTGCTAAGCTTATTTTAAGATTATTTAACTTATTTTCAAACATTTTATTAAGTAATATTATCTCACTACACTGGCAGATAATTTGGCTTGTTTCTAAATTTGACTTAATAAAATGACTTAAAACAAGTAAATAATGCTTGGAAATAACCTGAATAATCTTATAATAAGATTATATCTATCTAAGATAAGAAATATTCAATATATTGACTAGAATTATAATAATTTCACTTGACAAGATACTCTTTTTTGCAGTGTAGTTGGACATTAGTTATGAATAAAAATGAACAAATGTGTCCAGAATGATGAACAGAGCTGTAGAATTGACTGAGAATGCTGTATTGTATTGAGAATTAAGTTCATCATACAGTCTTCATCATATTTCAAAAGAGAAGATGCAGTCGGAATCATAAATGTTAATTCATACAAACCCAATTTCTGGAAAAAGTTGGGAAGTTTGGTAAAATGCAACAAAAAACAGGAATCTGTCATTTGTTAATTCTCTTTAACCTTTATGTATCTGACAAAAGTACGAAGAAAAGATTTCCAATGGTTTAACTTCATTGTATTTTGTAAACACATTTAGAATTTGATGCCTGCAGCACACTCAAAAAAATGTTGGGACACATCACGTTGTGCATAATGAGGCCTGTTTTTTCTTGCTGAAATGACAATGGACTTCCTCAGAAAAGATGTTGTCTGGATGGCAGCATATGTCTCTTTAAAATCCCAATACATGCCTCTGCATCAATTGTACCTTCACACATATGCAAGTCAGTCATACCATGGGTACTGATGCACCCCTATACTGTGACGATATTGGCTTTTGCATCTTTCGCTGATGAAAGTCTGGATGGTCCATTTCATCTTTGCCACAGAGAACTCCACGTCTGTTTTCCCCCAAAACAAGCTGAAACATGGACTCGTCTGACCACAGCATGTATTTTTACTGTCTTTTAAAGCATCTGAGATGAGCTTGGGCCCAGAGAACTCGGCGGCGTTTCTGTATAGAATTGATGTATGGCTTTCTTCTTGTGAAATAGAGTTTCAGGTTGCATTTCTTGATGTAGCAGTAGGCTGTGTCAGGTAACAGTGTTTTTCTGAAGTACTCCCGAGCCCATGTAGCTACATTTAACACAGTAGTGTGATGGTTTTTCATGCAGTGCCGTCTGAGAGCTCGAAGGTCATGCATATTCAACAGTGGTTTCCATCTTTGCCCTTCATGGACTGAGATTTCTCTGGATTCTCTAAATCTTTTCACAGTGTGATGTACAGTAGATGGTGAAAGACCTAAATTCTTTTCAACGTTGTGTTGAGAAATGTTCTTTTTGAACTGTTTGACAATATTCCCACAAAGTTTGGCACAATGTGCTGAGCCACGACCCATCTGTGCTTGTAAAGCCTTTGGTTGATGCTCCTTTTATACCCGGTCATGATACCCTCACCTGTTACCAATTCACCTGCTTATTGCAGAATGTTTCGATCACGTTGGTCAGCCAAAACATCAAAAGTAATTTCTTTGTACTTTTGTCAGTTAAATAAATAAAGATTCAAGAGAATTAACAGATCAAAGATTCTTGTTTATATTGCATTTTACAAAATGTCCCAATTTTATATTTTTGGTACATTATTATCCCAAGTTTGTATTTACAGTACATTATTCATCATTTAATAAGTTTTTATTCACTGAATTCTTGAAATATTGAGTAAAACAAATAAAATTCCTTTTGGCCAGTACAAGGGAATGGAACTACAAGGTAAGTGTTTCTAATAAAGTGACCAAGGAGTGGAAGCAAAAGGTGGGTGTTTCTAATAAAGTGGCACGTGAGTGGAAACACAAGGTAGGTGTTTCTAATAAAGTGGCGAGTGAGTGGAAACACAAGGATCGGTGTTTCCAATAAAGTGGCCAGTGAGTGGAAACACAAGGTACATTTCTAATAAAGTGGCCAGTGAGTGGAAACACAAGGTAGGTGTTTCTAACAAAGTGGCCAGTGAGTGGGAACCAAGGTACGTTTCTAATAAAGTGGCCAGTGAGTGGAAACAGAAAGTAGGTGTTACTAATAAAGTGGCCAGTGAGTGGGAATCAAGGTACGTTTCTAATAAAGTGGCCAGTGAGTGGAAACACAAGGTAGGTGTTTCTAACAAAGTGGCCAGTGAGTGGAAACACAAGGTACATTTCTAATAAAGTGGCTAGTGAGTGGAAACACAAGGTAGGTGTTACTAATAAAGTGGCCAGTGAGTGGAAACCAAGGTACGTGTTTCTAATAAAGTGGCCAGTGAGTGGAAACACAAAGTAGGTGTTCAAGTAAAATGGTCAGTGAGTGAAAACAGAAGGTAGGTCATCCTGACAAAGGGCCGGCTGAAACATTAAAAACATTGATTCCAAACTTTGTGTAGTAATCTAGGTCTAAACATTGTTGCACCTCATACTAGCGGTCATTCTACCTCTAGATGGTGGTCACGTTGCCATGGCAAAAGCAGAGGAGGAAGAAGAGGAGCTTCACTATGCCTCTGTCACTGTTAGGGGAGTCTGTGATGGTAAGCCTGGAGATCGGATTAGAGTGGATTACTCTTTTCTGCTCCTGTCAGTGGGTCTTTGTACTGTTTTACATAATAAGCAATACAGTCGCTACTGTAGGTCCCGCAGTGACGTTCTAAATGGCATTACAATCTTTTTCAGGAGCCAGAGGGAATTCCAGAAAGAACGTACGTACATTAGATTTTAGATTTTATGACCGGCACAGCGGCTCATGAGCATGAGTATTCTTACATGAGCTGCATGGAAATCTAATCTGTACTAATAATACTGCTTTAATACTGAGATGACAGGTGTCTGGTAGGTAGAATAATCAATTCTGTCCATGTTTCCTGGTGCCTTAATCTCCTCTCTCATTTACACAGACACCAGGTACCAGTGACTCGACCATCTACTCTACTGTCAACTTCGGCTGAGGAGCCTGAGCGCTAATGTTATTGTGATGTACAGTCAAGAAACTAACCTGAGTTTTATTTGTTATTTAGTGTAATTTCATTTCTGTGTTTTTTTTATTTGTAAAAATGGATGAACAGATGTGAGTTTCCTGCATTGTACTCGTTACACTCAGCCTTGTGCTAAAGTCTAGGCACCCCTGGTTGGATGACATTGTTGATTTTCTAATTGAGAATAAGTTAACACTTACTCTACAGGCAGCAAAACATGAGTATGACATATTTCTGCAAATTTTACTGCACAGCTTTTATTTGTTTTGCTGAATTTAACATATCAGAAAAAAAATGCAACTTGTGCACAGGTCACATTTTTAAAATTTCTGCTAATAAATAGTAACTTTGCATTGAAATGTGCAGAAATGTATTCACTGGAGAGGGTATGTTAACTTATTTTCACTCAGAAAATAGACATTTAACACAGGGGTGCACAAACTTTCAAACATTTTTTTCTGTTTTTGTTTTTTTACAGTGAATATTACAACAAAGCTTTCAGTTTGTCACAATTAACCCCACAGTTAGTAACAAGTTGCAACATTATTCACGACTTGTTCTGCTGGTTTGTGGTGGAGAGGGTTGCTTGAATAAAAAAAAGATCAGTTTTGCACAAATATTTAAAAAAAATATTTAAATTAATCGCTTATGCCCTGTGTTTTGCTTGTTAAAATGCTGTATAACATTAGAATAAATACAAATAAACACACACACACACACACACACACACACACACACACACACACACATATATATATAGTACAAAATCGGACTAATTTCTTGTTACAATATTAACGTTCACAATAACGTTATTATATCTTTCCTCTTCCCCTCGATGCAGTTCCAGTCATTGTTTATAGTTGGATGAAGGATTGATTAGATCAACTTGGTAAGAACTGTAAATACTGGCCTTCCTTGAGGAGAGATTTGTAAATGGTTAAGCTAACACACCAACACATCGAATCCCAATGCATTGTTTATTTGTTTTTGTATTTATTTTGACATTCGCGTTGTTTTTGAGCAAATAAAGCCTTCAAACCAGAGAAATAACTTCACATTTTCTCTGACAGTCTACATAAAATATCCATCCAACAAGTTGCCCTGCTGAATCACTATCTTTGACAAAGGGATGATGCTGGTTGGGATAGTGCAGTGCAGTGGTCTCCAAATCTGGTCCTGGAGAGCTATTCACTGATTACTTCAGTTAAAATTGTAGAAAAACCCCTCAAAATACAGCCTCACCTTTTACGCATGACTGTGGGGACGAGCTCTTCTGTGGTGCTTGGAATCCTAAATGATTGATTTAAAACCAGTATTGCTAAATTGAGGCTCAAGAAGGTGTAACTGTATGTATAAAATAACATATTGTTTTATTTTAAAATATAAATAAATTGTAACCCTAACATGTTTTTTAAGTGTAATATATCTGTAAATGCTAGGGACACAGAAATAGACGTTTCCATAGAATGACTCATGTATAAAACGGTGTCAAAATACATCACATTTAATGAAAATCTTAAAAATCGGCCTGTTTTTGTGTAAATCACACTCGAGTGAACTTTAAGAGAGCCTTCAGTGGTGTTTATGAACTCATTTTAAAATGCCCTTTCCGCTCATACTGAGGAGGGTTTTAGTGCTCATCACCGGGATAAATCTCTGTCTCCGCAAAACAGCAGCAGCTGGATTTATCAGGCCGGGAACTGATGTGGGATGTTGCTGAGATTTCCCCAACGTAATATGTACGGCTGTAAACGTTTTGCTGGCGTGATAAAAGCAGAAATATAGACTGTAAATTGTTTTATTAAGGCCTGGCGCTGTTCCCTGTCCGGCCTGCAGATGGCACTGCTGCACTGCACAGAATAGAATGCGGCATTGGCGCTATAGGAAAGATATACAGAGCTGATATATGGTGTGAAATATATGGCATCGTTACAGGAATCAATGTGGGAGAATAACTTTTTACATATATGACATGATGTGCACAACTTTAAGGAATATAATGTTTTACATAATGCATATGTATTGCCATCAACGGCCATTTGGTGGCGCTGTTGGAAAACACAATGTGTGAAAAGTGTTGAAATGAAGTAATATCTACCTCTTAAGTCGTTTAATCTCTCTCTGTCTCTCTCTCTCTCTCTCTCTGTCTCTCTCTGTTTCTTTCAACCAAGAGGTTGTACTTCAGCGCTTCAATCTGAAACACAAAGGTATGAAAAATGCGCCATTCGAATGTCTTTATCAATAAGGAACAAGGCTCTCCGCGCGCCCAAGGTTGTTTCTGCATTGTAAGGGTTTGTGTCTCTATTCAAACATATATGAAGAGCAGGATCTTGAATGCCGTCAAGGTCTCCCCAAACTGAATCCTCCATCCCCGAGTTATGCTCCGAGATAATTGAATTGCAAATTCAACAAAGCCTCATAAAACAATGGCGTTTGAAAAGCGGGACGGAGGCAGGTGTGGACAGAATGGGAGGCATGTGGAGGAGAGCGTCCCAAGGTCACCACATGGCCCGCTTCACACCCGTCTCCCTCTGCAAGTAAACTGCCGAAGCCACAGTTAGTCAGCCTGCGCTGAAGAGCAGATACGGCCACATCATGCTACTGGGAATTACTCCGGCGAGTTCGGGCCAAGATTGGTTGGCTCGTTTTATTCGCTCCTCAGAAATACTGCGTCAGCTGTAGCCTGAGCCTTTTCAGTCGTGGGTAATGTTCCACGTTCCGCACCTGTGTGCACACACAAAGCTGTGCAAAAGTCCGAGACCACCCCTCATTTATTTTACATATTGTTAAGTGGTCTTCTCACGATGAATGGATGAACTGTGGATTCTTTTCAAAAGCAAAAGCTTGATGTTCTCCTCTCTCTCAAAGATGAAATCTGTATGTACTGCTTACCTGATGGTGGTAGTTTTGGTGGTCAGCCAGGTCTTGCACAGATGTTAGGAGTCCCATTTTCTCTGGATCTCCATGTTTTCATTTGTCCATGTTCTCTCACTGCACTCTCAGAAATAAAGGTCTGAAACTGTCGCTGGGGCAGTGCCCCTCTTGTCACGGGGGTGGGACCCTCAAAGGTACATCTCAGTACCTTTAGTCAGGGAACATAACTGAACCATAAACCATTGAAATGATATGTTCTAAGCTGTACTGACTCCACACACCCCGTCTCGTCTCCAGGCTTTTATTTTATTGCTCTGTTTTAAAATGTTTGGTTATGAAAAGGTACAAATACGAACTTTTCACCTGGAAAAACTTATTTAAGGTTCACAATCAGACCTTAAGACCACTGTTGTACCTTTTGAGGGAATATTTACACTGTTTATACCTTGATGAATGGGAAATGTACCAACAGAACCTTCTGACAGTGTTTAGTACCCAGCACAAATATATTGTACAACCAATGAGAATCCCTGTGGTGTCAACCAATCGTAATTGATTGCCACAGAACTGTAGGCTAATAAATACAGCCAAGCTAGCATTAGTGTAACACGTACACTGTTAGAAATGAAGGTTCTGTGCAGGTACGTTTCTCGTTCATCAAGGTACAAACAGTGTAAATGTTCCCTCAAAGGTACAACAGTGGTTTTAAGGTTCAATTCTGCACCTTAAATACGTTTTTCCAGGTGGAAAGTACGTATTTGTACTACTGGATGTAGAAAAAATAAATTAGATTAATTAATTTTTTTTTCCCCTTTCATCCTCTTTGTTTTTGGCAGCTGTCAGTAATTGTTTTGGCTTAGTATCTCAAAATAATGACTTATTTTCACAACCAATTTGAATTAATATGTCAAAATAATGACTATCCTCAAATGTGTTCTCAAAAAAACTGACTTATTAAAATGCAGTGTCTACATGTTGTGACTTAATAAAAAAGTAATTGAGGGTAACAAATAATTTTGTGTCAAAATGTTTAGGAAATAAGTCAATATTTTGAGATACTAAGTTTTAATTTTGAGAAAATAAGTTACTATTTGGAGATGTTAAGTCAAAATTTATTTTATATATAAGTTATTTTGTGATACTACATCTGCGAAGTGCACTATGGCTGGATGTGGAAAGTATAAGTGGGTGAGTTCTTAAGCCAGATACAAGTTTTTTACCCTTTCAGATCGAAAACAGAACCAGCTACCTTGCTAACATTAGCTTTAGCTTCTCGTCCTCCTCATTTGATGAATCATTTCTGGCATTTACGGAATCCATTCTTTGTATTGGAATAAAGACTTGAAGGCAGTTACTGCAGTAAAACGACAGGAGAATATTTGCCTTCCTAGCCGTTATATTAGTTATCTGCCTTCTTTATGTATTGCCAAAAACATTTAAACAAAAATCCACTCTGAAGTTGTTGTAGTTTTCCAAAATTCTCTCCCAGATTTTCATCAAAACAGTTTTTCTAGTCTTTAAACCAGAAACTCTCACTCTATAGACTTCAGTGGCACAACTGTAGGAGACCACTAGGCATGTTTACAATAGATATAGCAATGGGTACATGTTTATTTTGGCCACAGCGTCAGTTTAAAGCGTTTTGTAGTAGTAAAGTAGATGCAGGTATATCCAGTAGAGGCCAATATACCATAGAGGAGATATACATACATCAACTTTTTAGGATTGTGCAAGTTTTCAAATGATAATGTCCTATTAGGTTTATAAAAATCGAACTGTTACAGTTTTATTTTGTAACAAATGTGAATAATATCCCACTCTTTTAATAAAATTAGTATTAGTAACCATACTGACCAATATGTAGATCAATCTTGTCTTACCGATATCTGATCCGTTTAATAAGATTAGTTTCATTGCCAATACTGATCCAGTTTATTGGATTGGTGCATCACTAATTACTTTACAATGTCAATTGACACTTTACAATGTGATTATGCTTTGATCTGTACTTTATGTCTAAGTATTATTGCACTATTCATATTTTCTGCAGACGTTTTTACTCTGCATACGTATTATTTTACGTGCTGCTCTCACAGAACATGCTACCTACATTTGCATTCACTCTGTATATATATATATATATATATATATATATATATATATATATATATATATATATATATATATATATATATGTTATATTTATACTTGCATATTTATATTTGTTTTACCATTCTGTCATCACTTCCATGGTTACTTCCAGCACTTTATACACCGATCAGGCATAACATTATGACCACCTCCTTGTTTCTACGCTCATTGTCCATTTTATCAGCTCCACTTACTATATAGGTGCACTTTGTAGTTCTACAGTTACAGACTGTAGTCCATCTGTTTCTCTGCATACTTTGTTAGCCCCCTTTTACCCTGTTCTGCAGTGGTCAGGACCCCCACGACTATTTGGGTGGTGGATCATTCTCAGCACTGCAGTAACACTGACGTGGTGGTGGTGTGTTAGTGTGTGTTGCGCTGGTCTGAGTGGATCAGACACAGCAGTGCTGCTGGAGTTTTTAAACACCTCAGTGTCACTGCTGGACTGAGAATAGTCCACCAACCAAAAATATCCAGCCAACAGCGTCCTGTGGGCAGCGTCCTGTGACCACTGATGAAGGACTAGAGGATGACCAACACAAACTGTGCAGCAGCAGATGAGCTACTGTCTCTGACTTTACATCTACAAGGTGGACTGACAAGGTAGGAGTGTCTAATAGAGTGGACAGT